AACATTTAATGTTAATTGACTTGTCCCAAATATTAAGTTACAATATTGTGAATTTAGAAAAACTTAATTTAACCTTTTTAATTCTAATTTACACTTTCAATTAAGTAAAAAAAAATAAATTTAGACTTTTTTTTCTTTGACCTAGTTATTGTAACTTCTTTTTTATTCTAAAAATAATTTTTGTTTGCTGTTTAACTTTTTAGCCTTTTAAAAGCATATATAATAAAATTGTTAAAGGTTAGTTTATTAGTTTATTTTTATTTTTATATTATCTATTTGTGTTTGTTTTTTAGTTCTATATGATAACTTTTTTTCTTGATACTTTGTTAATGCTCTATACATAACAATGATTGACTTGATAATTTTTTTAAAAATAACTTGATAGATTTTACTACAACTAGAGGTTAGACAACAACTAATATAACTTGATATTAAGTCTTTTTATAAAAATAATGACTTGATGAGATTTAATTTTTGGTTGAATAAAAACAATTTTGGATAGACAAATGAAAAGGTTTTTTACTTGATTTATGGTAGAATTAGATTTTCATTGTGGGTGATCACATAAATTTCAAGCTAAGCTAGATTAACTTTTAAAATGAAAGATCATTAGGTTATATCATATTTGATAAAAAAATAATATTAATAATTAATTTATTTGTATAAAGTTTTTAATTTTAATTTATCAAAATGAATTAATAAAAAGTTTTGTTTATATAACTTGGTTGTTAACATTGAAAGATAAATGACTAAAATATTTACTTCAGATTCAATTTTTGAAAATATTATTTCTTTAAAAGAATATCACTCATAATTTTATATAAAATTATTTATTTGATATGTGTTATTTTCTTATACTTTTATTTAAAATTTGATAAAATTTATGATTTTATAAGTTTATAATTTTTTATTAATATATTATTTGCATATATATATATATATCTTGTGTTAATAAAATAACATAGAAATATATATCATATTAGATTGTTAATGGACCCCTCAAAATTAAATATGAAAGTCAACCACTGGTTGAGACCCTGACATGGGACGTCACTTGTAAAGCAATGTATGTGATTACCAATGATCAAGCTCCTCTGTTCATGTTCACTAGATCTGTAAGGATAGTATTTGTTGGCATGATGTGGCATTACATTCACTTAGTCTCAGGTTCAATTTAGGCTCCTTTACGTTTGGATATATATAAATAGAAAAAAAAATAATACATGTATTATTTGTTTAAATAATTAAAATTAATAAAAAATAAAATTTAACAATAATTATTTAGATAAATAAAAAAGATAAGAAAATAATTCATTATAATATATATATTTTTTAATTATAACTTTTTTTTATAAAATAACCTATAATATATAAATATATCTTTATATTACTTAACTTGTATAAATATATTTTTTTAAAAATTAAACATATTTAATACGATAAAATATATTAATTAATTATTATTTTACTCTTAATTTTATATTAATTTAATTTTTAATTTATTTTTAAATAATTTAACTTATTTTATTGTTAAAACTTGAAAATATAAAATAATTTTGTATTAATTTAGCTTTTTAATTTATTTTGACAATAATTTAACTTATTTTATTGTTAAAACTTGAAAAATTATAAAATATTTATAAACTATGAAGTTATATAAAATACTTATAAAAAGAAATTCTTTTTGTAAGAAGTGTGAGTTACATAACTAAATCAATATCATAATAAAAATATAAATATAATAATCTTTTTATAAAAATAAATTATTTTTAAAATTTTTCCTTAGCTTTTTCCCCAAAATTGGATATTAAAGTAATGAACATTACAAAAAAATCAAAGTTTATTGAGTTTTTACTTCTTTCCTTTCTTTTGAATTAAAAATTTATCCACCGTTATTTTTTTTTCCTTCCCTTCAATCCAAGCATAATGTTAATTAGGAATGATAATGAATAGTATATAAATAGATATTTGTCATTATTTAAGTTGTTTATATCGGATTCGAATAATTATAAATAAATAATTAATGGATATAGATAAAAAATGTATTATCTATGATGAATTTGAAGCGAATACAAATAATATTTTTTGAATATCTAATATCTTATATGTTTAAATTTTAGTAAATAATAATAGATATCTGAATCTATTAATGTTACATATATAAAATATATAAAATTTTATACTTATAAAAAATTTCGAATCTTAAAAAATAATTTTTATTTATTATTAATTAAAAGTGAAGTTGAATTTTAAATTAAATTTTTATTTATATTATATTTAAAAAAATTTAAGTAAATGAATACTTTAACAACTTCGAATATTTAAACAGTTTTTTTATTTAAATAGTAATATTAAATTAAATAAATATTTAATTGAATTTAAATATTATAAATATTAAATAAATTTAGATATAAATATTTAAAAATAATTAATATTCACTCCGATATCATTTTTAGTCTGGATAGATTTCATACAGTTCTTTCAAGTTGGAAACAGAGTTGGAATGTGGTAGAAGTTTCCATGGTTTAATTGCTTAGTTTGGTTACTTTGATTGCCCTGCCAACAAGAAACAAAGCATTTTTGCAAGCACGACAGTTAGAATTCTCAAGGCTTTAGAGTTGCGTTGAGTTGGCATTATTACAGATTTTTCAGAAAAAACATTGGAGAAATTGATTTAATGATGTCAGTGTATGGAGTGATGAAAAAGGACGAACAGTGCAGAGATGAAAAAAAAATGATGACATGACAAAAGACTTTGACGAAAGTGAAAGCACTTTTATTACAGAATAAAAAGTTTGTTTTACTGTTGCGAAACAAAGGCAAAAGTTCTTTATTAGACCGAAGAAAGTATGGCCAAAGACTTTCACGCACCTTTGTGAAACACGCACTCAGACCAATTCATTGATATCTTAATAATCAATGAAACACTTTCATGGCCACCATCCACAATGGAACGACGACTTTTTTCTTGGACGAGGATAAAATAAAAATTTTAGTCCCTAATAAAAGTAATTTTAATCTTATTTATTTAAATAGAATATTTTATGCCACATTAGACTTGTTTTCCATCCCAACGGCGGTGTCTCGCACTCCTAGTAAAGAAAACTTGTCTTAAAAAAACTCTCAAAGAAGATGTGATTGCTTAATTTTCATCTTCATGAAAGTATCATTCATGTAACCCAGACTAATTGTGTCACCTCTCATATCCTAAATCTATTATATGATTTCATAATTATATAAAACTTGGCTTTTTTTGGAGAGACTAAGTATGAGTCTCTTGGTCATAAAAAAAAGTATGAGTTTGTTGGAATGTTCTCTGTCAAACAAGAACTGCTGTTAGTAGTATGCCTCTTTCAAACCAAGTTTTTGCATAAGACTGTCGACTTTCAATACCTGCTGTGGATGAGGGTTCTACTATAGCTATATTCCCTCACTCCTCTCCTCTTGGCTCCAAGAATGGACAATGGCAAAGCTTTTGTGCAGACACAAGAACGTTTTCAGTTTGGGGCTAAATTTCATTATCAATTTTATAAAAGTTGTGAGCCCTCTCAGATAGATTTCTTAGTAGACAATCTCTCTCTGAGCAAACCATCACTATGACGTTTTCAGATATGAGGCAACCGAACTACCAATCTCAAGGAATGCAAGTTGACTGGCTGCTTAACAGGAGCAAGAGGGGCATCTGGTCTTTGTATTGATCATGGGGAGAACAAAGTTGCAAAAACCAAGGTGTAACAAAGGTGTTGAGAGTCGTACGGCCTGCGCCCATGGTGGAGAGAGGAGGTGCCATCACTTGGGTTGCACTAAAAGTGCCGAGGGGAAGACCTATTTTTGCATAGCATAAAATGGTGCTTAGTCTTTCCAGGATTCTTTGCTCTCGCACAAATGTTACAGAAAAGCTAATGTTAGTAATGCAATTAATCTACTCGTAAATTTTGTCCAACCCTAGATCAAATTTGAACCGCAATCTAGTTAACTCCATTTCAACATACACATTCACTAATTAAATTCCATTCTTTGTTGTCAATATGAGTGGCCTTTACTCTCTTCCCTCCACTCCGTCTCCGGATCAAAAATATAAGCTGTAAAGAAAATTGAAAAACAAACCAACTTCGGTTCAAATTAACAAAATTCTTCTACTACAAACAAAATGGGAAGTTCTACTTGAAATCCTTCTGAATGATTGAAATCAGAAATCATCTGAGTCTTTAAGCACTTGTGTCTTGCCGGCAAAGCTTAAAGATGAGTATAGGTGAATAAACTCCAGTTTCCTGTTACTTGGCTTTATATCGTTCCTCCAGATTATTCAGGATGGAGCTTGGTTTGGATTGCTTGCACGAATAATATTTTAATAAAGATGGAAATCAATCGAAGTGGGACATTATCTTTGGGAGTTTGTTTGTTATGAAGATGGGAAAAGAACAATAATGATGATGTGGCATTAAGTATCTCGTTTATGTAAATAAGATTATAAATACCTTTATTAGGGAATAAAGATTTTATTTAATATTAGTGCAGAAAAAAACTCATGGACTGACCTTGCTACTAAGTTTAATTTAACCCTTCGCTCCTAATTAATTTTTCGAGCACTTTCTTGGGCACTATTTTGTTTAATCAATGAACGCTTAAATGACCGATATTTCTTTCAGGAGGATGGTCCTACTACAGACTTAGTCGTTCCACTTCATTCAATTAGATACCAGTACTTTGATCGGAACCGATTAATTGGCATCCGTGCCAGATTGCCTTATCATGGGAAAAAATTTAGGATGCCTTCACAATTTTGTGGGTTAGGCAAGTGAAATGAAAACAAACTTGATCATGTATATATTGCAACTTCCGGGCTACTTGCATTCCTGCCAGTTTAAACTTCAGAGAGATGGTGCGTGTGTGTGAGAGAGATCACGATAGCAGGCATATTGTTACATGGTTCCTTTTGCATAATGTGTATATGATTGTCACAAAAGAAGGAACGCATTAAAACTGAAAACTGAATGCGCTCGATGTCCATTGCTGAAGATTGTATTACTATAAGAAATCTATGATAAAGCAAGTCATCTGTCATATAACATGACATGATCAGATGACGTTGCCCTGCAACATGAGGCATGCCTCGTTATTACAGAGCATCTCTATAAATTATAACCCTCCCCCAATCCCTTCCTCTTGTTTGCTGCTTAGAAACTAAACAATGCCTACCAAGGCACAAAAAATGCCAGTTCCACTAAAAAATGATGGTCCTTGCTATTCAACTTATCATTTCAAGTGGAGAACAAATAAAGACTATAGCATATAGATCATTCATCACTCACATTCCGCCTAGCAGGAGATAATGGATGGATACAGCCACTAAGTAGTAGAGGTGCAACTTCGCAGAATGGGGGATAAATAGTCTTAAAGCGGGAAGGTTACAGGCTAGGCATATGAAGCCTTGTTCTCTTTCTCATAGTGGGAAAGGGGGAATGTTAACTTGTGACCTTTCAGGTTTCGCTAGCATTAACTCTATTATCTTGGCCTGAATCAAATCATATCGAAGAAAAAGAAACAAATGCAACTTCCATATATACACACTACTCCATCAAATCAGGTATGAATAAAGAAGACGACTCTCTAAAATCTGAACTACACCAGCGTTTAAAGCCTAAATGCAAAAGCGATACTGCGGTTTGACAATTTTTCAACAAAGGCTTCAGCAGTATGGCATCCAGGCCATTTACTTCCAATTTTATAATAACAGGTATCATCAAATGACTCAAGCTAAAACAACTTAATGGTTAATTGCTTGCACCACAGCTGAGATGTAAAAAGCAAGTGTAGCAGCAAAAATATAAGGTTGCAAATTAGCTTATCTCGAGAGACTGTAAATGGCAGCACATAAAAACAATAAGCTATCAAAATCAAGTCGACCAAACTGAATTTTTTATAGACTGCAACAAACGATAACACCACACAATTTTCAGTTGCCATAATATTGAATACGGATCGGCAATGGACTATTACTAGAAATTTAACATAACAGTTTACCAGGTTTAAGAATTTAGGGTCACGTTATTGAGTCTCTCCAAAGCCAGAATCAGAGCTTGGGTTCCCAAATTTCCTTCCCCATGAGCCTTAAGGGACAAATAAAGCTGCTGAGCCAAAGCCAAACCGGGCAAAGCAAGTCCCATGTTCTGACACTCCTTTAAACAAATCCCTAAATCCTTAACAAAATGGTTCACGAAAAAACCCGGTTCGAAATCCCTCTTCAAAATCCTGCTCCCGTACAAATCCAACGACTTTGAGCCAGCTGCCCCCGTCGATATCGCATCTAAGAACGATGCGACATTGAGCCCTGCTTTATGGGCGTAAATAATTCCTTCTACTAATCCCACCATCCCTGATGCTATCGTGATTTGATTTGCTAATTTCGCGAATTGACCTTTCCCGCTGGGACCCATGTAATTAACTTTTCCTAAGAGGGTAAAGAGGGGATTTAAGCGGTGGATGATGGCTTCATCTCCACCAGCGAATATCGCGAGGGTCCCGTTCTTGGCACCGCGGTCGCCTCCCGAGACGGGGGCGTCGATTGAGGAGCAGTTTTTGGAGGAGGCGGCGGCGGAAATTTCGACGGCGAGGGAAGGTTCCGATGTTGTCATGTCAACGAGTATGCCGCTGGGACGGAGGCCAGAGAGGGCTCCATCAGTGGGATCGAGGAGGACTTGGCGGACGTCCGAAGGATAGCCAACGATGGAGAAAACAACGTCGGACTGGGCAGCGAGATCGTGGGGGGTCTGGGCTAGGCGAGCGCCCATGTCGACGAGGGGTTGGGCCTTGGAGAGGGTTCGGTTGAAGACCGTGAGACTGTAGCCGGCGTTGATTAAATGAGCACACATAGATCTGCCCATTACGCCAGTTCCAATCCAGCCCACCCGGGTGTTGGATGGGCTGATGCGGTCAGCAGCGGCGGATGTGGCCATGGAGCGGAGGAAGACGATAAGGTGAGGAGGAGAGGGAGTTTGAGAGTGGGGATGGTAGCGAGAGAGTGAGCAGAGTATGAACGGCAGTGATCTCATTTTACTTTTATGTGAATTATCTTTTTATTAGTGATTTTCGATTGTGTGGGATATGGTAATTTACTGACGTCAAAGAGTGGATATTTCTTGGTTGAAAGGAAAAAGATACTCTGTATTGGCAAAAACGACACTATCGTTCGGCATTTAAGAAGGATATTTCAGTCACTTCAGAAACAGAAAAAAGCAGGGCGTTTTGCATTGGCGGCGTCGTTTTATGCTTCCGCAGCCTATGAAACCTAAAATGATCATTTGCCTTCAGATAAAAGAGAACCAGAGCTGGAAAACCGTTAAAGAAAGCTTGTCTAGCCATTGACGGGGATTAGATAAGGTTATTGATTTACTCGTCCAAGGCCTCCGCTCTTAATCCAGGTAGAGTATTCTATCACTGAACTGCTGTTTCAATTTCCAAACTCATCTCTTTATTTATAAAGTGAGTGGTAGTTCTTGTAATTCTATGTAAGACTGCGCACAATGAACTCTAACCTGACAAAGAGCCAAGTTTTTCCTATTGTTATTAGATTTTCTTCACAAACCAAATGTATCCAACAGTTTCATACCTCAAAAACCCAATCTTTACCAATTGGGTCTTGTCCAAAACCCTCACTAAACCGTTCCTTAATTTGTACCACCCATAAAGCTCTCCACTTTCACCATAAGTCCTTAACAATTAGCAGTGTGGAAAAACCCAGAAGTATTTTAAGTGGGTTTAGGATGAGAAGTGCTATACAGTGTTGTTTTTTGCTAAGAGCTAGAAGCTCATGGAGTTTGCATTCGAAAAGAGTTGGTGAAGAAAGGGATTTAACTAGAGCAGAAAAATCTTTACCTTGGTTATCCTCAGAGAAAGTGAATGAAAAGAAAGGGTCACATAAAGTGGAAATTGAGAAGACTAATGGTCGTTCTTCTTGGGAGGAATCGTTGGATAGATTGAAGAAAGAGAATAATCGTTCCTCTTGGGAGGAAATACCAAAAAGGTCGGAGGTGACAGTAGGAAAAACTGGACAGTCCTCGTGGGAGGAATCTGGTGAATCCTTTTTGGGAAAAAAAGGTGCTCAGTCACTGGATATTAAAGAGAGTAGACAAAGGAAGGTAGGCATGATGAGGGATCATCATAATGGTAACCATGGCAGAAGGGATGAAAGCAATGAAGAAAAAGGAGTAAGAGAAGAGGATGAGGTTGTCCATGATCCAAGATGGGATAAGATTAAGAGTAGATTTAGAGGAATGGTGGATGTAGAACTTGGGTCTGAGAAACCAGAGTTTCGAAGATGGAATAAACAGGAAAGTTGGGGTAGAAAAACATGGAAAGAGGCTACTGAATCAACTTTACCTAAGATGGTTGGTGAAGGGGTTTATGGGGTGGGTCCTGTTTTGGCTGCATTGTCAGCTGGAAGAAGAGAGTTCTATGCTTTGTATGTCCAAGAAGGATTAGATTTGAGTAGTAATAATAGGAAAAAGAAAGATAAGAAAGGGTTTGAAAAAGTGTTTAGGATGGCTGAAATACTTGGGTTAAGTGTAAAAGAAGTTTCAAAGCATGATCTCAATATGGTTGTTGATAACCGCCCCCATCAGGGCTTGGTGCTAGATGCTTCTTCATTAGAGATGGTGAAAATAAAGGAATTGGATCCTGTCTCAAATGACGAAGAGAAAGGTTCTCTTTGGGTAGCTTTAGATGAGGTTACTGATCCTCAGAATTTGGGGGCAATAATTAGGTCAGCTTACTTCTTTGGAGCCTCAGGGGTTGTGCTATGTGCAAAAAATTCAGCCCCATTAAGTGGTGTTGTGAGCAAGGCAAGTGCTGGCTCACTTGAACTAATGGAGCTTAGATATTGCAAGAATATGATGCAGTTTTTAGTTTCATCAACTGAAAATGGTTGGCGGGTTCTTGGGGGTTCTGTTTCTTCTAAAGCTGTTCCCTTGAATGAACTTTTGCCAGGTGTACCAACCATCCTTGTCTTAGGCAGTGAAGGCACTGGCTTGAGGCCTTTAGTAGAGAGATCATGCACTCAGTTAGTTAGGATTCCTGGAAACATTCCTGTGGACATAGCAGCCAGAGAGCTCGATGATGCTGAACCTGCAGAAGTAGATTCTGGGAACTCAGGCGAGGAGTTCCGGTCCTTTTTGGCTGTGGAGAGCTTGAATGTCAGTGTTGCAGCAGGTGTGTTTCTTCACCACTTAATTGGAAAGAGCCATGGTATTAATTCTTCTACAGATGGGAAGCCAACTGATATGCATCAATGATATTCCATGGCTGATGCATTGAGCTTGGTGTCTTGTCATCTTTCAATACTTATTTCTGAAATTTTATCACCATATGTCGGGCTTTCTCTAGAAAATGTAGGCTGACAATTCTGACTTTTATTCTTTTCAGAAGAAAGATATGAGATAAGAGACTTTATATTGGTTTTATGCAGAAAGATTCATTTAGATCAAAATTTATGGATTTGGAATCAAATTTCAATAGTTGATTAGTTAGACTGTTCAATCATTTTGATGGTCATTCTTTAGTTTTCAATATACAGTACAGTAATAATATTAGTTAGTCATATAAGAGTTGGTATAATCTTTTTGTATGCAAGAAGTTTCACAAATTTGCTTGGTTCAACAATTTGTTCTAATTGGTGGAAAACCAAAATATGCGTGAAAATTAGAACCCTTGTATGAATCTGAGATGCTTGACTCTAGAGTATCAGTTTTAAGATGCGAGGCTTGGGCTTTCTCTAAAAACATTTGCTGGATCAGATTTTCTTTGCTTTGTTCAAGTTGCAATTCCTCAAATACTAATGTGTTGCAATGAAGCTAGCAACTTGTTGCTACCTCTTTTCTTTCTTCTTCACAAAAACGGCGGGACATATATCACCATCGTTAGCTTTACAGGCATTGATGTCTAAGAAACTTGCAATCCTGCTTAATATACTTTTGTAACACTTTTTTGTAACACTTTTTTGTAGGTTTTGCATTAGTTATAGGTTTATAATTGCTCTTTGTTCTAAAGAGTTCATGGTATTTGTATCCATGTTGTTCATACTCTTCGTTTTCCCTAATGTACTCGGATTCAACACATATCTAACATCGTAGGTACAATGGTACAGAGATTCGATCCTCCAAATATATAAAAATGGAAAATTGCTTTGGGAACATACTCAAATCTGACACTCATTAAGAGTCCCAAGTAACATAGTATTATTGTTGTGCGGCTCCCAAAAAGGAGATTGCAGCAGCCTCCATGGGTACCTTTTATTTGCTACATCTTCACTCTATCAAATCCCTAGAGAAACCCCTTTGGCCATCACTTTGGAAATTTTCTGGAAAGATTGAATGCATCCTAAGTTAGACAAATGGAAATTACTCTTATCAAAGCGTAACATCCATCCATTTCCATTCGAATAGCTGAAGCAGGAGTTTTTGTTTTTGTTTTTTTTGTTGGAATGGCAATAACCACTATTTTGGCAAGAGACACAGTTTAAAATTAGGCCCTGGTCGTGGAGGTTGGGTTTCAATTTCAACCTTGCCACTGGGCCGAAGCCTGTTGCTCGAAGCAGGAAAGGTCTGCTACTAGATATACGAAGTTGCTAAGGAGCAAACAAAGTATTGAAAAATTGAAATGCAACAAAGGATAAATCGGATCGTTCATTCATCCATTGAGATATCAATTATCGTACTACAGGATTATTCAATTGTCATCACCTCCGTTATCTGCTGCCGTGATGATGACATTTTCCCACAAATTGGCTTTTTCATTCACAGCCTGAAAATTGAAGAAAACCGTTCTTTTATTGCTACATGTGGTTTCACATGGAAAATTTGAATAAAACACCGCAGAGATCTTTTTCCTGAAGGAACCTACCTAATCCGTTAACTACACTTGGAAAGCAATGACAGATTCCGAAATTTCCTTGGCAATTTAACGGTCACTGTGGGTGTGGTTTTGTAGTCTTTTTCAAACTGCTGAATTGCTTGAAATATGATTTTGAATTGATTCTAGTTCAGATAATATCAGTGGCACAAGGTTTTGATTTCAACCTTTTCTTTACCCACTGGACTCCACAATGGTGGGGCAAAAGGGTTAGTTTCTCCTTTTTAAAGCTTTTTCTCGCAATGGGAAAAGACAATAAAAGAGTAAATGAGTGGAGTTTGAATCAATCAATCCCAAGATCCCAATTCTGGAAGGCACGTGAAAACATGATAGAAATGGGCTTTTGCCCGCTCAACACTTTTTGAGGTCATGTACATAAATTCCAGGACAAGATTGGGTCGGTTTCCTGAATCTCCAAAAGGGTCAGTCTTTTTTGTACTTGTGAATGTCTTTTATGAAATGGAATTCCGTTTAATTAGTCTCCTCAATTGGGATTATTACAAAGATGAATTTGCAGCATTGAAAAATGAAGGTTAAGACTTGGTTGATTGACTGAACAAGGCAAAAGACGTCCCTTTGCTCCAATGGTTTTCCCATGGTCCAGTCAGTATGGATCGGTCCCCTTCTGTAATGACTTTCCAGAAACCTCGTTTTCAATAGCTACCTCAGCTTGGTCCCCTTGTTTCTCAAGCTTTTCTGGGCATACAGTGAACTGATTTGAACTCTTTTATTAGAGAACTCTTTGTAGCTAATTGTAGTTAAAGCAAACTTAATTATAAAATCAACCTTCCAATCAATTAAAAAATGTTTTTTCCTTTTATAAAAGAAATGGCCACTTAAGAAAATAAAAAAAAAATCAAACGCTGGGATCAAATTTAACTTTACTAGATTGCACTGTTCAAAAGATGGGAATAAATCATTCAGGTTTAGTCTTAAATTTTCAATCAAATTACACCAAAAATTCGAATTTGGAAAAGGCATCTTGGGTTGGAATTGAAAAGCTAACAATCAATTTTCAGGAGTCAAAACATGGACCGGTAGGTTATGAGACCAGACCATCCAATCCAAAACCAAAAACATCTGGGAAAAAAATTCATGACTCAGCCAAATCCAGGATGAACTTTTTCCACTAAAAATATACGAAAGCAATGGGCCACATGGGAGGGAAGTAGGCAAACCATGTTATGCTTTGCTAACATGGTTCTTTCGAATAAGAAAGCTGGCAGCACCACGTGGTCATATGCATTTTGATATAAAGATTTGAGGATTGATATATTTATATTATATAAAATATTAAAATTATATTATTTATAAAATTATATATCAAATTTATATCATATAAAATATAAAATATAATTTTTTTATTTTATTAAATTTATATATAATAATAATTATAATTATAAATCATATTATTTTTATATTATATTTTAAATTATCAAATTTATACTTTAACCGTCTCGCTTGCTAATCTTCCTCTCTCTTGTATCAGTTTCTCCCTTTCCCATTTTGAAAAAACAAAAAAAAAAGGCAAAGAAAGGAGAATGGGGCAAGTGCCAGCTCACACGTGGGGACAAATATAACTCTCTCGCCCAATCAGCCTGCCAATCTCTCTGAGCTTTTCTTTTTTAATTTTCACTGTAATTTATTTATATAAATAACTAACGGTCTCTCCCTCTTCTCTGTGGAATTCCATTTTTGGTTTTTTTCCAATCTCTGTCTATTTTGTATATTTTTTTTCCCTTAAAAAAAGGAGGGGAAGAGCGGATGAGTGTGGTCAAATCCAAAATTATAAAAATTACGCGGTCTCTTACTCTTGCCTTCTTCTGTCTCTCTTGCTCTCTCTCTTTTTTCTTTCTCAACAACGCACGCCCTTCATTCAACGACGGACAGAGAGCAAAGAGAGAGGGAAAAGAAAGAGAAAAAGCTTCCATTGATAAATTCTGGGGCTCTTTTCTTTTTTAATTGTTTGGTTGATTTTGTTTGGCTAGTTTGACACCCGTTTCCACCGACGAGGGAGGAGGAAAAGAAAAGAAAATACAATAGAACGTCGGCATTGGACACTGTCGATTGGCTTCTCTTCTCTCTCAGCAGAGCTTTCTGCAGTCCTCTCGCCGTTTTTATTCAGATCCAGGTTTGTTCTTTTCTCTTTCAGATCCATTTTCTTTGTTTCGTTCCTTGCAAAGTTCATAATTAACCTTAAACAAGCCACTGTTTGGATAGATTTAGGGTATGGAAATAAGCTTAATTGTTTTCTTCTCGTTTTCAATTTTCTTTTTAATCTTTGCTTCAATTTCTTTTAAACCTTGTTTTACAATTTGCATCTTTTCTCAGAAATTAAATGGGTATTTGGTTAGTTTCTCAGCTTCGTATCTTATTTATAATTAGCTTTTTTTAAAAAATTTTTTACTTAATATGTGACCTTAAAGATCTACCCTTTAAAGAATTTATAATTTCCTTTTTTACAGCGAAGGTGCAGGTTTTTCGTTACCATTGGATCTAGAAAGCTAAGTTTAGAACAAAAAAAGTTTTTTTTTAATAAATTTATTAAAAAGAAGAGAGAAAGAATGCTGCTTTTGACATAATGGAGATTAAATGTTTGAAATTTGGTCATAAAGGTGGCTGTTATTATGATAGTCAGCAATGTATCTTGAATTGTAATGATGATTATAAAGTTTGTAGATGTAAATTCCTTAATTTTGTATTAATCGTGTAAATTGTAGGTATCTGAGTTGAGCTTTGTTTGTTATAGCATTGAAATAAAATGGAGTAGAAAGCTCCTTCTCCTAAATACCATTTTTCATTTTGGTTTACTTATTTGTTTATGTCAGTAGAGGGAAGGCTGGCATGTCAGTTAAAACGTAGTCAGCTTCCAACTAATGGTTTATCCAAAAGAAAAGCTATTGAAACATCCTTACTTTTGTACAAGAATTACCAATTACATTTTTGGAGGAACTACAATGTTTGACTAATACTTGTTATCCGATCTGCTATGTGATATTCTTCTCATTTTGACTAATGGCTTCCTTCTTTTATCACTTTCCTATCACTCCAATTGTCGACTTTATGAAACCAGTATTTTCACATTGATTATCTTTAATCAGTTGCCTCTATTGATCTGAATATTTTATATGTGATGTAGGGATGTGTAATCTGCTTGACTCTTGCTATTGGGTGGGCTTTTGCTGCTTATGTCAGGTACATGGTTATAGCGATGAGGGTTTAAACAGCAGGCTGTTATGACTATTCTATTTTGTCCCACGACCTAGAAACTTGCCTATTTCATCTACTTGAGCCCAAAACTTAAATTATTAAGTTGGGTTAAACAACTTCAATATCTTATATTGCGCTTTAGGCTAAATCACGAACATTCAACCTATTGTAGCTTAGGTTGTCTCATATCATCCTATTAATTACATTCTTTTGGTTAAACAACTTCATATCTCTAGTGTGTTTTAGGCTAAATCACAACATTCAACCTGCAGCTTAGGTTGTCTCATGCCCCTTAAGCTTGTGTCACGAGTCGAGACTTAAACTTCGATTTGTGTGACTCTAGACTCGAACATTCACTCATCCGCGTTCCGGATTAGCCTCACCGCTACGATTCACACCCTTGTGAGGTATTAATCGCTCTGACTTCTCTGACTTCACGGTTTTGTTCTATAAAAAGACATTTCACAAGAAAAAAATGGTGTGAACCCTTTTATCCCATAGTGACCTTTCTTTTATGTTCGATGTGGGATTCAGAACTCTTCCTTAGGTCTGTGACACTTGCACTCCAGATTGACTCAATACATCATCCGCTTGGGTGTTTCGCTTTTTGCATATTATTATATACTTACTGCATCCAAGTCGAATCTTTTACTCTGATAATGGTATTCGAGTACATAGAGTTGATGGACGCAGCTAACCTCCAAGTGGCTAACCTCCAATTTGTCAACAATCTCCCCCTAGCAGCACTATTGAGACTCGAACCCATAGCCTTGGAAATCAATTTCAATTCCGGTGAAATTTTATTAGTTAAAAAATTACTTGATAATTAAGAATAAATATTCTTAATGGATAAGAGTTTTAAGTAACTAGGAATTTTTTGTGAACAAGTAATCGAGCTTTATAAATATAAAGTAAATATTAACTTTTAAAATTATGAGAGAGTTATGAAATCTTTATATGGGAGATAGGTTTGTAGAGATGTAAAAAAGAGTTTGTTTGAGAAAACACTAGTGGCATGTGATAGAAGATATTTCATAGGTTATATACTAGGGAGCATGGAAATTAAGATTATTTCAAAGATTCGAGATTAATATTTGTTTATGGTGTTTTATACTTTTTTAATTTATACATTTATAGTAAATTTTTCTTTATTCGTGAATGTAAATAATTTAAATCAAATCACATTAAATATTAATTTTATATGTGATTATTTCATATCGATTCTTATTGTAAAATTTATTTCTACTTAAAAATTCCAACAATTCCATGGGTCACCACTGTCCACAAACAGTACATCCTTCGAACAAATAAAATGGAAAAAAAAATGAATAGACATAATGGAACTCACTAAAAAAGGGCAATTAAAAAAATTGGCAGTGAAGAAATGAAAACTATTTGATTTGCAAACCAATTGAAATTCCAGCATGTGTAGAAGAAAATTCATCTTGGATTATCGGTGTGCCATAGTTCGTTTTTCAATAACCACTTCAAAATATAATACGGGGAGGAATCAATTTACAATAAAAAATTTATATTTTTTAATAATTGATTTTAATACATTTAATATTGAGATTAAATAATTTTTATCTCTTTTTCATTTGTTTTCTCTATCTTTTTTAATCTATTAAAAATCAATTATTAAAAAAAATAAAATTTTTAATTTTATATTGTATATAAGTGGATCATTCTTATCATATAAAGAAGGAATCCAGTCTAAGTGTTATACATTTGTTAACTCTTGAATCAAAATTAAATCCAAAACATTTACAATTAATCATTTTGATTCAATGATCAAAGAAATGTGTAACTTTTTCACTAATATAAGTTATTTCCTACTATATATATATATATATGTATATATCAATGGCCACGTTACTCTAAAGAGTGAATGTCACGATATGGATATGTGAAGAAGAACAGCACCCAACTGATGGACAAAACTTAGATAAAGTTTGTGATTTTTTTTTTAAATGATAAAAATTTTAATAAAAATCTAAATTAATAAATTGATAAAATTTAATATGAAAATTAATAATATGTATAAAAAATTAAAAATATTATTTTAATTAAAATTTGTAAAAGTTATCAACTATAAATTTTTATTAAAATGTTATCTAAAAAATTAATCAAAATTTTTTGAACTTTATAATTTAATTTATATATAAAATATTTAATTTTATCTATTTTAATTTTTATTTAATTTAATTAATTATTTTTAATAAAAAATTTCACGAATTTTATATGAACATTTTCGTCCAAGTCTTTCCCTCGATTGATCAGAGTGAGCCCCTCATTGAATAGATGGCGTCCAATCAGGACCATTTGCTAGCTGCTCGATATGGACACCCATCAAGCAGCTATTGGAGAAATTAATTTTGAGATCGACTTGATTTGAAAGCCTTCCAGTTTTAACATTTATAACCTGATTGAGGTCCCG